TATTTACAATTTCATCTCCCAGCAGTTCTTTAAGAAAAGTAAACAAAAATTCATTAAGGTTGCTATTTTATGAATAACAGAACTGCATATATTTTGTTCTTTATTATGAAGAGGCATCAGAAACAGAATAGATTTGGAATTAATTCCAGGAATATCTGACACCTCTTGCCATCTCATGATGAACAGTGGAATAAAACAGAAAACACAGAATGCGTATATTCTGTTTTACTTATAATAAAAATTAACTTATGAGATAAGGTTGCTAAGCCTGATAAGGTGATCACAGTCAATTTTAAAATTACTATCTCTAGATCATAAAAGGGCAATTTGTCCTTTACAGAAGTCAAACTATATCACAAATTATATTTTAAAGTCCAAAACCCTATCTATACTCTGCAGGTATTGCTGAGTCTTGGTTACAAATAGCAGGCCTATCTTTTTCTCACAACCAAGCAAATAACTTGGAGAGAACCATTATGAAAATGTGATTAAATGGATACACAGTTTCTACAGACTAGAAAACCTCCTTTCCTTTCCTTTAAAGATGAATGAGGAACATTAATGGTCTCAATGCTTTACATGTCGTTAACTAATGAGCTTTGACAAATTCTTCTTTTCTTCCACTGATACCACATATGATGCATTTAGAACCTTTTCCAAAAGCTGCTGTGGTCAAGTCCTCCTGCAGATTTCAAGGGGTTTTGGAGCAGATGCTTATGTGGTTTAATGAAGTGAGCCTTCAGCATGTTCTTCATTTTCCACTGCACCCAGTAGGATTTATATACATGAAATGTCTTGTTTCTGGACTTTGAAATAGGAACATCTAATGAATGATTCAAGTAATTAACTCCTACAACAGAAACCTGTACTCTATTAGGTACCTAAGCTCCTTGCACAGAACATATGGAAGAGCTAAGTTCTCTGCTTTTCCTTTCTAAAGATATATAACATCAGTATACAAAGGACAGAAATATTATTTACGTCATGATTTGCCAAGACAGTCAAGCAATTTTGATGAATCAATACCCATGCTGCACATATTCTAAGTAGGCCGTACACAGACATAGGGCAAAACATGTACTAATACGCCAGGAAAATATCCCACTAACTGGTAGGGCTTCAAACAAACTGAGGACCTTAATGTATTATAAAACATGTATAAACGAGTATCAGAACCTCTGTTGGGTGGAAGATGATGTTATCTATTCTAAAATCCCCATGAACCAGTGTCTCCTCATTGTCATCAGGTGGCAAGTTGTTTGTTAACCACTCAGCCAGCTGGTTCATGGCAGGAATATCCGTATGAGCAGCAGCATCGTACTGTTTTTTCCAAGTTGACACCTGAAAACATAAAACACTTCAACAGTTTTTTCAAACTGACTGACAAGTTTTTCAAAAGCACAAAATTATGAAGCCAGTACTCCTAGGCTTTGACTATGTTACTTGTGAATTCAATAAAACCCAGTTAGCTTTGCATTTTGTACTGTGTGATTAAACAATTCAAAGAAGACTTCCTCCATTTCTTATTTCAATTCTACTTCTGTAGCCAAAGCTAGTGTTATACGTAAATGAATGAATAACATTCACCACTTGCAGCATTACAAGAAATTTGAAGGTAGCAACAATTTTGCAGTGTGTACAAATAATTGAATTAAGCAAAGCTGTTTAATAGCTTAAATATGATGGTCACTTTCAAGAGACATTAATAGAGGCATTAATTAACTTGCAATTCAATATATCTTCAAAGACTTAACAAAACAATAATATTTGAAGATCTGTACCTGTCTTCTGCAGTATCCTGGTCCTCTGCCATATCCTTGGAGGCCCAAAGACTTCAGGTCCAAAGAGTGCAGCAGGGCCAGCGTTTCTATCATTGCAATGTACAAAGCAGAACGCTCTGCCGGGCCCACTTCAGGCAGCGAGACATCTCGGAAGATGCGACCCTAGAAGAATCATAAATGAGATATTTGGTGAGATATACGCCATCAGGTGCAGAGAAGTAGAGCTATGCATATCAGAGGCAATGAAGTGAACTAATCTCCCCAAGCGCAGTCCAAGATCTCTTCTTTATTTACTTACTTTCTTGCCCAGTACAGGTGAAGAGACTCACAGGAATCCCAAATCCTTCATGCCTAGGATGTCCACTGGAAACTGAGCCCTCAGGAGTTGTTCAATACGGAATGAGTGAGACTGACCTTTCCCATCAATAGCTAAAAAAAAACAG